CCCGGTCACAGTGCAGGATTCAGATTAACTTTCTTAGGTCAATATTTAGCATTGCTTCACCACTTTGAAGTAAGAATTGCGGGCATTTTGATAAAAGGTATGAAATACTGGCAATAGTAAGAAACCTTATATCCTCTACATAAGTGCTATATGGCAGGAGTTCTCATCAGTGAGTCAAACAATATTCTTCCTTCAGCCACCTCAGTATTACTATTTCTCCAGCAGTGCTGTATAAAAAAAGTTTACTTCAGTCACAGAACTAGGTCTTTTTACACTGGTACCAATACTGTAGCTTTTGAATGTAAAGTGTATCAAATGAGACTTATAGGTGCTTAGCAACTTCTAAAACTCAAAATCTCAGCTTGTATTCTTCAGTTTACATCAAAATAAAATTGTGCCACTGATCCACACAGAAATTGTTACTCGCACTGAATGTAAACAGCTGTATCTATTGCTTTTCACAGATCACACATTTTCAAATCTGAACTGTCGTGTTAGCGTGCAAATGGTGCACATGGTAAGGAGGGGTATGGTGAACCTTTCAGGTAGAGAAGACCTATGAGGTGATGTTATCTAGTCCATCCCCCCAACCACTGCAGGACTCTTCCTTACAATATATTTTCTAGTGTGTTGTCCAGTTTATTTTAAAGTGTCACAGGCATGGAGTTTCAGCAACCTTCCAAATCTTATATATGATATATGTGAGAAGAGAAGCTGCATTTACACATGGCTGTTCTATATTTCAGTTTAATCCTTCTTCTAGTAGTTTGACAATTCTGTCTTTTAAATATGACAAAACACTCATCATCAGCCTTTCAACTCATGCATGTCCTTATTTGTATAATAAGACTGCAGTATGGAAATGCCTATACTACACAACTATTACATACACATACACTCTCTCTCTATAGGTATACTCTATATCTAGGCACTTATTATACCTCTACAACTCTAGAACTTTGCTTCCTGGAGGGATTCAAAAGGCACACATTATTTTACAGCACCTCTCATCTCAAGCACTTTATGAACATATCACCAATGAAGCGTATCTGTCTTTGGGGTGGAGAGCGGCAGCCAGTACACAGCAGACAGTAAAGGAAGAAAAAGAAAAAGCAAACCTGGACTATTACAAGAAGTGCCACAGGACCTAGGACTCGGATGATGCAGACGAGCTAGGCCCTTGGTGAAACAGCCCACACAACCAACTGTAAGTGTATCTGCTTATCTAAAGGGCTGAGCTACCTCTGCCAAGATTCAAATCTGGGACCAGCGAGTATAGGCACCGCAAAACTGATGCCAACTGCTAAGCCATTCCCTCCAGAAATAAGGTACCACCTGTTTTTTTTCCTACAGCAAGCAAGAAATAGTTGCCATTGCCAGGAAGTATTCTACAGAAAAAGCTTAGACGTTAAACATTATACGGCAGTAAAACAGTCTTTGTCAAGCCATGATACAGGACTAGGGTTTCCAGGTGTCCAGTTTTCAACTGGAACACCCTGTCGAAAAGGCACCCTGGTAGCTCTGGTCAGCACCACTGACCGGGCCATTAAAAGTCCGGTCGGCAGCGCAGCAGGGCTAGAGCAGACTCCCTGCTTTCCTTGGGTCTGCATGGCTCCTGGAAGCAGCAGGATGTCCACCCATCTGGCTCCTACGCTTAGGGCAGCCCGGGGGTTCCACATGCTGCTTCCGCCCCAAGCACCAGCTCTGCAGCTCCCATTGGCTGGGAACTGTGGCCAATGGGAGCTGCAGGGGCAGCGTCTGCGGACAGGGCAGTGCCCAGAGCCACCTGGCTGTGCCTCTGTTTAGGAGCCAGAGGGGGAGACATGCCACTGCTTCCGGGAGTTGCTTGAGGTAAGCATCACCCGGATCCTGCACCCCTCACCCCCTCCTGAGCCCCAACCCCCTGCCCCAGCCCTGATCCCCCTCCCGCCCTCTGAACCTCTTGGTCCCAGCCCAGAGCACCCTCCTGCACCCCAAACCTCTCATCCCCAGCCCCACCCAGGAGCCTGCATCCCCAACTGGAGCCCTCATTCCTCCTGCACCCCAACCCCCCGCCCCAATGAAAAAAAGTGAGTGAGTGAGGGTGGGGAGAGCGAGTGACAGTGGGGATGGCGTGAGAGGGGGCAAAGCCTCGGAGAAGGGGCGGGGCAGGTGTGGGGCCTTGGGTGAGGGGCGGGGCAGGGCAAGGGTATTTGGTTTTGTGCGAGTAAAAAGTTGGCAAGCCTATACAGGACAGAGGCACTAAGGCATTTTGCTAAATCAGAAATTTTGGATCACTGTTCAGAAAAAAATCTGCTTAATCATATTTCTCCCTTAAACAGTACAATTCACATCTTTCCTTTTTGATCACCATAATTAGAAAAATTATTTCTAATTATGGTGAATCAAAGCACATTGCTTTGTTGTTGAACAACGGACCAAGAAGCTTAGGCCAAAATTTTCAAACTCTGTTGATTAAATAGAGGCACCACAAATTGTATTTAAAGAACCTAAATAAATTTATGGTGCCTAACCTGAGATATTCGAGGTTGCAAATGTGAACCTTTTTTCTAACCAGTGTGCTTTCCTGCGTATTTTCAAAATCTAAAAAGAGTCCACAGAATATAATTGGAACCTAACAACAAAGCACTATTTTTGTGAAGAACACGACATCATACTGTTAGGCCTTTTGGTGAGGATTAAGAGTTGTGTTGGTTTGGTAACTCATTTTATTTTTTTCTGTCAGGGGACTGTGTGCTGTCCTTTATTATTAATTATTTAACTATTATTCAGTGCTTGTAATGCACTAGGTGATTTACAGAGCACATACAAGACACGGGGCCAGATCCTAAACTGGTACAAATCAGCATTGCTCCATTGATTTTGCACCAGCTGAGACTCTAACCTGTGGTCTCTGCCCTGAACAGCTCACAATCTAGGAATAGGCAAAAAATGACGAGTGATGCCATATGGGGCGGGGGAGAGGGATTTGGTAGATGGGTGAAGGGTAACTAGTACAATGTGATTGCATTGGTGCATGCTTCATGGAAACATTTTTTATTTATTCTGATGCCTTCATTTGGTTCTGAAGTGTCTAGGCCACCGCATGACTTGTTTTTTAAGGGAATAAAGAAAGGAAACTTTGCCAAGGGATGGATTCTGGACCTTTCCCAACTCTACCAACTATGATCCTAAAAATAATTCACATAAATGTTTTTATTAGCTGTTTCTTCTGCCCTCTACAAGGCGTTGAAAAAATAGAATAAAAATGTGAGCTTCTGAGGTGTCTGTATTCCACTGTTTTCCTGAGTTCCAAGGCTAAGTTCCAAGTTGCAACTTCTAAATCTGGCCACAACAGTGAAATCTCACAGTTCTCCTCTATCTGAGAAAACAATCTCGAGTGGTCAATTACTGTATTCAAAATAGAGTTTGCCCTGTAATTTGCTTCTTTCAATTAAAAATCAAAGACTTTTGTGTTCTGGCTTCTGTATGTCAAAGAAGTTTTGCCAAAAAGCAATAAAAGGAAGACATTCATGGTCAAAAGTCCTTCACTAAATAGGATACACAGGATAACTCCACAACATTTTATATCAGCACCGCATGGTGCATAGATGACAAAGCATAAGGCTTGTTTACAGGCTGCACCCCAAATTGTTCCCCTCACCCAACCCTGCATGCGCATGCAGCTATGAAGTGTCTCCAGCCTTACCTCTGGCTCACAGCTGATGCAAAGACCATATTGCTCTCACCTGCTACACCCTCCCCAGTTCCCTGGTGGCTTTGCATCTCTCTTGACCAAGTTCCTAGTCGCACTTCCCCTCTAATGCCTTTAAGGTGTCTGTCCATTTACAATGTTAGCTGCTGGCACAAACTGCTACCCAGCATGCACTGCTCTTGAGGATGACTGTTCTGATACAAACTGTAGGGCACGTAAGTGCTTCAGAGGAGTTGCCAGCTACTCTCCCTGCTGCATGGCAATAAAGTTAACCTCCCACTGAGGATTTGGCAGGTTCTCCTTCCTTGTTGATCCTTTGCCTCTCCCTTTGAGTGCATCCCACTACTCCTCCACTGCCTTCTTCCTCTGCGGGCCAAGCAGAAGGAGGGACAGCTATTTGGAGATTCTTTGGCCCCTTGGGCACGTAAGTACAGATGGAGTTGCTGGAATGGGGTTTATGCTAATGGGGTTTTTATTCTTGCCTTTAATAGCTTTCTCTGTATGAACTTTTCATTTAAAACTTTTTTCTAACAGGGAAACAATATTGATGCAACACAAAGTGAACACAGTGGCTCACATGGCTGCTGTATGCTTGTTCCTTAAAGGTATCTAGGCACCTAACTCTCATTGCAATTGAGTGCCTAAATACTTCTAAGGATCTGGACCTTGCTGCCTTAGGTAATCACATGTGTGCTGCCTGAAAGCTAGAGCCACTCTGGAATACTACTTCAAGCATCTTAATAAATAATACATCTGTTCGCACTTTTGCACAATCAATGTCAACATATTATTCATTCTGCCTGAAACTACCATGTTACAACCTCCTGTGCTTTGAATGAAAATTAAATTAATTCTACAGTGGACAATCTGGTTAAACTTCTCAGTTATTTGACCCAAGTAATCCAGTGGGATATCCAGTATCTCAGCGTAACCATCTGTTTCAACTCTTAATTAAATGTTCTGGACTGTTTTTGTAACTTCTTTTAATATAATCTTTCTTCTGTGGAAATAGTGGAGGCTGACTCAGTGAAGATTAGTTTTTCTTGTTAACTAAAATTAAGTCTACTATTAAGGCCACAATCTGACAGTTTTAAGACCCAGGTTTACACTTTTAAATGCCAAATCAGCCATTATTATTTATTATGTGATAGTGTGCTAAGGTTCCAGTGAGAATTGGAGCCTCATCATATTGGGAACTATTCAAGCATTTACAATTCAAGACAGGAGAATTTGCAATCTAATGTGAAAGAAGATGTTACAAGGAAGCTAATACTGTCAACATGCTATGGTTTTGCATGCAACATACTTTTCATATAGCCTCTGTCCTCTCATGAACACCTTCACCTCATTATCCAGTGGGAATGTTCCATCATCTTTCCTAAAGCGGTAGAAAAGTTTGACATCCTTGAATTCCTTATGCTCATCACAAACTGAAACATAAAATAAGTGACATCAGAAATGATCACACTTATGTTGAAGACCTAACACAATCAGAACAAGATACCAATCATCATTAGTGAACTTAAAAACAGAACAGGCATATGCAGAGCATAGTCCTGCCTCCTCCACCCCAAAATTGTTTATTGTACAAATATGACCCTACACATGAAAGGCTGAGTGGTATCTTTTGGAATCCAAACTTTTAGATAATTATCCGAACAGAATCTCTAATCTTTTGGAGCCTGCCAGCCATTCATTTCAATGGATGCTGCAATAGCAATGCATAGCAAAAGACACCTATCTGGTAAAACCTTGTGATTTTGCACCCTCAGCAAGTTTGCAGATGCCACTAAGCTCAGGGGAGAGGTAGATAGGATGGAGGGTAGCGATAGGGTCCAGAGTGACCTTGACAAATTGGAGGGTTGGGCCAAAAGAAATCTGATGAGGTTCAGCAAGGACAAGTGCAGAGTCCTGCACTTAGGATGGAAGAATCCCATGCACCACTATAGGCTGGGGACCGACTGGCTAAGCAGCAGTTCTGCAGAAAAGGACCTGGGGATTACAGTAGATGAGAAGCTGGATATGAGTCAGTAGTGTGCACTTGTTGCAGAAGAGTGAGGGGGGATCTGATAGCAGCCTTCAACTACCTGAAGAGGGGTTCCAAAGATGATGGAGCTTGGCTGTTCTCAGTGGTGGCAGATGACAGAACAAGGAGCAATGGTCTCAAGTTACAGTAGGGGAGGCCTATTTCACTAGGTGGGTGGTGAAGCACTGAAATGGGTTACCTAGGGAGGTGGTGGTTTCTCCATCCTTAGAGGTTTTTAAGGCCCAGCTTGACAAAGCCCTGGCTGGGATGATTTAGTTGGTGTTGCTCCTGCTTTGAGCAGGGGGTTGGACAAGATGACCTCCTGAGGTCTCTTCCAACCCTAATCTTCTATGATTCTATTATTAAATCAGGTGTTTCTTAAAAACCCTGAATCAGTAAATTTAAGGATTGGCTAACCAATGACTTTCATTTGCATTAATCCAGGGCTGGATCAAGCAAACCTGAGACTTGTGCAAAGACATATAATAAGGTCTAAGATTCACTGTATGACCTTCCTTCTCCACTTCTCAAATTGCTCTGCCATGCCAGCTGGGGAGTGGGAAAGGCAATGGGGAATGTATTGAGAGTTGGAAAACGTTTTTAGGGGAACAGTTGATGAAAGTCTTGTTAAATTGGAGACAGTGAACTGAAATGAGCTCCAACTAAGACAGAATAAAGTGGGGGACATTCCAGTCAAGCTATTATTACCACAGAGCTCTCAGTCAGCATGCACAGACTCATACTCCACCCATATGGCACTAGTGCATCAGCATTAAACATTACATTACTGTGTTAACTTACTGCTGGTGGCATAAGAAGCCCCTGTGGAACCTGGCTTATTAGGCTATCTGAACTTGTCCTACATTAGAACATTCTTGAAACAGCAATAACATTAACTTTGAAGCCAATGAATGAAAATCCTTGAAAATATCAATTTTGTACTTGTCCTAAATATAAAGGGAAGGGTAACCACCTTTCTGTATACAGTGCTATAAAATCCCTCCTGGCCAGAGGCAACATCCTGTTACCTGTAAAGGGTTAAAAAGCTCAGCTAACCTGGCTGGCACCTGACCCAAAGGACCAATAAGGGGACAAGATACTTTCAAATCTTTTGGGGGGGGGGAAGGCTTTTGTTTGTGCTCTTTGTTTACGTGGTTGTTCTCTCTTGGGACAGAGGCTAGACAGAAATCCATCTTCTCCAACCCATCCTAATCCAAGTCTCCAATATTGCAACCAGTACAGGTAAGCCAGGCAGGGCGGATTAGTTTATCTTTTGTTTTATGTGAATTTTCCCTGTGTTAAGAGGGAGGTTTATTCCTGTTTTCTGTAACTTTAAGGTTTTGCCCAGAGGGGGATCCTCTGTGTTTTGAATCTGAATACCCTGTAAAGTATTTTCCATCCTGATTTTACAGAGATGATTTTTACCTTTCTTTTTTTTTTTTTAAATAAAACCTTCTTTTAAGAACCTTACTGATTTTTCCATTGTTCCAAGATCCAGGGGTTTGGGTCTTTGATGATTTTGTAACCAATTGGTTAGGATATTATTCTCAAGCCTCCCCAGGAAAGGGGATGTCGGGCTTGGGGGGATATTTTGGCGGAAAGACGTCTCCAAGTGGTCTCTTACCCTGTTCTTGGTTTAAAATGCTTGGTGGTGGCAGCATACTGTTCAAGGACAAGGCAAAGTTTGTACCTTGGGGAAGTTTTTAATCTAAGCTGGTAAGAATAAGCTTAAGGGGTCTTTTATGTGGGTCCCCACATCTGCACCCTAGAGTTCAGAGTGGGGAAAGAACCCTGACAGTACTTAATTTTTTTAACATATTTTTTTGTCAAGGACTCCTGCCTTTTCTCGTTGACTTACCTAGCTGGAAGGAGTGGGCTTGGATTATGTTCTGAGGTGGAAAACATTTTAAAGTTTTATTAAAGATTTAAACAAACTTTCACATATAAAGTTTCTATTGCTCAATTAAATTAAGTTACTCTGACCTCCATGTAAACTATTCACTGACATTTCTTCAATAGAGGATAAAGCAATCAGGATTTGGAGCCCCTATAATTACTTTGTATCTGTTCTTTAATTATCTTCCTCGATTCCCAGGTTCCATAAAGACGCAGAATTTTAATTTCTGAATCAAGCAGAATGTGTAGTAGTCGCACACATTCCAGCTGCATACTTATCCCTTTAATTAAGGTATTGTTTATGCATTGCTGACAGTTGCAGTAGTGCTCATGCACTTACAGATGCCTCTGGAGAAAGGCAACTTTTGTCAATTACAAAACTTCCTCTATTTCCTGTTATAAAGAGATGGGAAAACTGCAATTTCATATGTTGACTTTTTAACTGGACAACACTGTGCACTTGAAACAAAAGGGCTTGATTCTCCACTGACTTGAACATTGTAGTCATTTTGCACCTATACTTTATACAGGTGTAAAATGAGTATATAAACATTACTATTGTGATTTGATAGTGGTTTGTGTCCACATTTCACAAATAATGCATGTAACTTCCAATACATCATTATTCTAGAAATGAAGCTACAGGGACACCATGATACAGAACAAGAGAGAAAGTACAGAACAGCTTCAGTTTATAAAGAAAGGATGTTGCATCTAATATGTTTCACTACAGTCACTTCATTCACTAAGTGAGAAATCCTCCCCTCCAGCAGCCCCAAGTTCATGTAGTTAGATGTTAGCACACAGAGGCATTCTACAGACAACAAAATCCCTGTCTGCTGCAGGACACTAGAGGTGCAGTCATTCTTTAGCCACTAAGGCAGAGGTGGGCAAACTACGGCCTGCGGGCCACATCCGGCCTGCGGGACTGTCCTGCCAGGCTCTTGGGCTCCCGGCCGGGGAGGCTAGCCCCCCGGCCCCTCCCCTGCTGTCCTCTCTCCCCCGCAGCCTCAGCTCGCCATGCTGCCAGCGCTCTCGGTGGCGGGGCTGGCTCTGGCCAGGCTGCACGGCTGCGAGCTCCTGCCACTCTGAGCGGCATGGTAAGGGGGCAGGGAGCGGGGGTTGGATAAGGGGCAGGAGGTCCTGGGGGGCAATCAGGGGCCAGTTAGATGGGGTGGAGGTTCGGGGGCGGGGTGTCGGTCAAGGGACGGGGAAGAGGGGGGTTGGATAGGCATGGGAGTCCCGGGGGGCCTGTCAGGGGGTGGGCGCGGGAATAGGAGTCAGGGCAGTCAGGGGACAGGGAGCAGGTGGGGGGGAGTTGGATGGAGGGTTCCGGGGGGGCAGTTAGGGGTGGGGGATCCCGGGAGGTGGTAGTCAGGAGACGGGGAGCAGGGGGGGTTGGATAGGGGGTGAGGTCCCAGGGGACGGTTAGGGGTGGGGGTGTGGATAGGGGTCGGGACAGTCAGGAGACAGGGAGCAGGGGAGGTTGGCTGGGGGTGGGGTCCCAGAGGTTGGTTGGGGCGGGGAGTCCCGAGAGGGGGCGGTCAGGGGACAAGGAGCAGGGTTCGGGGTTCTGAGGGGGGTAGTCATGGGGCAGAATTGGGAGGGGGCGGATGGGGGTGAGGGCCAGGCTGTTTGAGGAGGCACAGCCTTCCCTACCCAGCCCTCCATACAGTTTCGCAACCCCGATGTGGCCCTCAGCCCAAAAAGTTTGCCCACCCCTGCACTAAGGCAACAGTGTTGTCTGAAGCAACTACATCCCCCTTTACAGAGGGAAATGGACAAAGGATCTGAGTAATCATGGCTCTGCAGGCTCCACCCTTACATCTCTATTTAGTCACCCCTGTACACTGGCATGTAAGGGAGTCCCCATGGAGCAGAGGTAAGCAGGGCACAGGATGTAAGGACTCCCTTTTCCATGGGAATGCCTGAACCCTGTCTCACCCACATACAGCAGAATAATCAGGGGCCTTCTTCAACTGGAGAAGCAGGGTCAGGAGTTACCGTTAATTGCATCACAGTTATCAAGAAAAAAAACTTAAAATAATTGTGGCTGCTGCTGTTTCGCTCACCATGATGGATAATACTGCAATCCAATAATTTCTGCACAAGTTTAATTGCTGTCTCTCTGTCTGAGGCCTCTTTGTGATCAATCAGCCAGTCAATCAATTCTTTGGCAACAAAACAGTTTGGATATGTCTTGAGATGATGCCTTCGATCTTTAATTATCTTTTCTTCATGCAGTCTGAGCCTGTGGGTCAAATCACATTATTAATAACCTTTGCAGAGAATCTATATAACCAGAGGAGGAAAGGACTCCTTTCTATGTAACATGTTAGGGTCTGACTGCCACACAATTCACCTACACCCCAATAAATATTATGCCTAATTATAAAAGGTTATAGTGGCAAGTCTGTTGAAAGGCAGAGAATACAAACACAAATTGGCAACTGACCATTTTCATTTTCAGCTAGGGAAAGAAAGAAAAGCAGAAAAAAGAAACAATATCAAAGACCATTTTAAACCCAGCACATGGAGAATTTTCAGTTACAGTGGAAAGCAAACAGGAGGAGAAGCAGATGTAATTCTCAGTATAATCTGCTAAACACAGGAACGCATGCCTCAGTGTGTCAATAAAATTAAATGTTAACACTTTGGCATGAGCTGAGACTAATTCTCGCACATTACCTTTAATATGCTTGACATTACTGCATTATTTTGGGAAAGGCCACTGCCAAAGATTCGTTAACCCCACTTGATGGATTCAGCTGCAGGTTTTTTGTGGTGCCGTTCCTCTTAACTTCCACTGGTTATGGAACTACATCTTCTCGAAGCTACATACTAGGTACAGGGCTTGCCATTTAGAAGTCAGCATCTAAACAGTTTCCACACAACACTATGTAACACACAGCCGTTACTTTCTTTTCTATGGGAAATTGATCTCAGCAACTGGCAACGGAGGAGCTTCATTATCAGAGATCTGACAGCTGCAAAATCCCACCCACCATTTTGAAAGCAAACCCAGCAATTGCTTCTTACACATTTAGTATGGGTAGCAAAAGCCCACGTGAGAGTATCTGGACTGACCACAGGAAGTAAAGGTTTTTAAGATCAGTAGCTTTATGATTAGTCATTTTTCCAAATTAACGTAACTGATAGCTTCTTTTATATTTATCTGTTTATCTATTTTATGTATTACAGAACAACAGGCAGAGATTTTGTAGAAGTTAACTGCATTCTTATTTATCACTTTTCACTTTTAATGAATAATTTTACTGACAACTATTGCATTTTTTATAGAATCATAGAATATCAGGGTTGGAGGAGACCTCAGAAGGTCATCTAGTCCAACCCCCTGCTCAACGCAGGACCAACCCCAACTAAATCATCTCAGCCAGGGCTTTGTCAAGCCACGCCTTAAAAACCTCTAAGGATGGAGATTCCATCACCTCCCTAGGTAACCCACTCCAGTGCTCCACCACCCTCCTAGTGAAATAGTGCCATTTATCCATAACAACTATGAAGAAAGCACAAGAACCACTCTATAGAGCACGTCACAGAGGGTGGGGGGGGGGAGAAATTTAGGCTCATATTGCAAAGACTTACACACATATTTAACTTTATGTGCTGTGAGTGAAATTCTGGTTCCACTGAAATCAATGGAAGTGTTGCCGTTTACTTCAATGGCACCAAAATTTCACCCTAAGAATAGTCCCATTGACTTCAGTGGGGCTCTGTGCAGGCACACAGGGGCTGTCCTCAGGAAACAAGTAGCATAAAAAGATAAAACAGTTTAAAGTATTGGCATAAGGACAAATCAATGCTATATGAACAATAGTTATTCCTGACTAACTAATCTAGTCTAAGATATTTATATTGTCCCCAGTATTGCAGCACCTCACAACCTTTAATGTATTTATCCTCAAAATGCCCCTGGGAGGTAGGGCAGTGCTATTATCCCTATTTATAGATAGAGAACTGAGAAACAGAGAGACTAGGTGACTTGTCTAAGGTCACACAGGAAGCCTGTGGCCAAGGACGGAATTGAATCTGGGTCACCAGAGCAGGGCCCTAAACACTAGTAAATCCCTCCTCTCAGGGTGATATTAGTATGCCTTAGCATCACACTATTTCCTTTTGAAACCCACAAAAGGCAAATAAGTCAGCTGAGGATGTTATTGATGACATTATTGGGTCACAGACAAGCCTTAAATAAGGGTTTTACCTAAAATTATCCACAAATAGTAATGTAGCAACTTTTCTGATTTGCAATATTGATCCTAAAACCAGATTGCTCCCCCTCCCCCAAGTCCATATTATGGTTTAAACGGCAACTTTACAAACACCATCAAAATGAATACTTTTAAGTTAAAAACCACATAGAAATCAAATGAGAGTATTTAAAGCAAAACCCACTGACGATAAGCCTTCTATGCATTGTGAAATACAGTAAACTAAAATATGTCTTTGCTTACAGCTCTGATATTTTCCAGCTGCGCAGTAACAGCTGTCATCTTGCTTGGAAGAAAAAGCCTGCACTTTTTATTGAAAGACCCTGGAATTATCAGTGTTCTGTGTCCATTTTTTAACCTACACAGTCATCTGAAAGTACAATACTGAAACAGCATAAATATATCTATATGTACAGAGTGGGTTTGATCAACCTTTCACTTCTATTGGTATAAAAGTAAATGAATGGAGTTACGCCGGCATAAACAGAGAATCAGGCTCTGACAATTCTTTGCACCTACATAAGGTGTTGATATGAGTTAAAAAGGCACTAGTATCAAGCAAGAGTCAGCATTTACCCACAAGTATCAAATGGGAATGGGAAATAACTGTTATTCCAGACATTACATTATGTGACACGTGTCTCAAACCTCTCCTTTCCCAAGGAGTGTGGGGGGAATTATTTGCACTACTTCTGGGCCTAACAGGCTTGGGGTGTGACACCAGAAAGGGAAACCAACCCTCCTGCATAGCAACGTATAGCACTACCATTAGGCCACAGGGCTAGCCCACTACTCTGAACATGCTGTATGCTCCTAACTGAATGGAACAAAATAAAGACATTTTTTTAAAAGACCTGGTGTTAATCATGATGTATAAGCCCCATATACATTTACTGCATCTATTTTTAATTACACAGAGCAGATGTTTGGACTCTGGCATTCTGAAAGTGTTTCAGTGTTCAGCCCTGTGGATCAAGAACACAAACATGGTTTCTCTAGCTAAGTAGCTATAAAAAAGAATTGCTCAAGAGCTACTTAGAGACAGGTTTGATTCACAGAGCAAAGTTTACTCATAAAACTTAGTGAAGGTGGGGGAATCTTGTTTCCAGAGGCCTTTGAAGAGTGATCGAAGAGTCACCTACTGTCTAGCCACTGATACTTCGCAACTCAACTGTAACAATCACAAGAAACCAGCCTTCATCACAGTATTAGAGTATCACACAAATGTAACTCCTCATATTACTCAAGATGGCATCAAGGACATTTTGTACTGGGGACCACATTCTGCCCTATTTGAAGAAAAATGAGAGAGCATTTCCGCTGGTCTCTGAAACTAACAGGACAGTAAAAAGCGTATACTATATTCAGCCCATTGAAATTCACATGTGTATGCGTTTATCATATTCAAGCTTCCAGCAAATATACACTGTATTTAACATTTACATATTTGCATGTGTAGGTCTTTGCTTGCACATTTGTCTGTTTTATGCTAATCCAGAACAATCTCTCATTTCCTTACCAGGCAAAACATGGACTGGCAGAGCAATCATAATTAGCATTACTTAAAGGAAAAATTGAGCTTTTTGGTTGAGAAACCAAAAACTAGTCACTAACTCCCTGGGAAGAAACCACTCCTAGCACTTGTCCATTAAGTTTTCTATTAGGGAAATTATCCTTTCTGAGGTTGTCACAGTTCAGGGCAACTGCACCTGTATTCCCCCTCTCTATGATCCCTCAAGGGCACCTCCTCCAGGCTCCCGACTCTTCAGCTGTCAGCTCTCCTGGGGAGAAAACTGCATCTCTCTCCCTCCTGACCAGGGTTTTTCCAGATGCACAGCTCCCTGCCTATACAGTTATATCCCCAGCAAGCCAGACTGCTTAAAAGGCCAGCATCTGCACTTTGCTTTCTCTCCACAGGCTATGAATTACAATTCATCACAGAGCTCTTTCTAAGGAAGCACATTTATTCTTCAGGTGAAAGGATTACAGAGAAAGCATGTTAAAAACAATAAAAGAACCTACATGCATGCTAAAAAGCCTACCAGCGGTCATTCATCAATCTTATGAAGCTTCAGTAGGTTAAATCCTTCCAACCCTTCCACAAGGATTAGAGCGCTCCCCCACCACTTTGAACAGAAAGTCCTGTCTGTATGCTGTATCAGAAAGAAGCCTCTGAATCAGTTTAAACTCAGGCTATTTATCCAAAAGTCATAGAATCATAGAAGATTAGAGTTGGAAGAGACCTCAGGAGGTCATCTAGTCCAACCCCCGGCTCAAAGCAAGACCAACCCCAACTAAATCATCCCAGCCAGGGCTTTGTCAAGCCGGGCCTTAAAAACCTCTAAGGATGGAGATTCCACCACCTCCCTAGGTAACCCACTCCAGTGCTTCACCACCCTCCCAGTAAAATAGTTTTTCCTAATATCCAACCTAGACCTGCAACTTGAGACCATTACTTGTTGTTCTGGCATCTGCCACCACTGAGAACAGCTGAGCTCCATCCTCTTTGGAACCCCCCCTTCAGGTAGTTGAAGGCTGCTATCAAATCCCCCTCATTCTTCTCTTCTAAATAATCCCAGTTCCTCTCCTCATAAGTCATGTGCCCCAGCCCCCTAATCACTTTCACTGCCCTCTGCTGGACTCTCTCCAATTTGTCCTCATCCTTTCCGTAGTGGGAGGCCCAAAACTGGATGCAATACTCACCAGTGCTGAATAGAGGGGAATAATCTCTTCCCTCGATCTGCTGGTAATGCTCCTACTAATGCAGCCCAATATGCTGTTTGCCTTCTTGGCAACAAGGGCACACTGTTGATTCATATCCAACTTCTCATCCACTGTAATCCCAAGGTCCTTTTTTGCAGAACTACTGCTTAGCCAGTCAGTCCCCAGCCTGTAGCGGTGCATGGGATTCTTCCATCCTAAGTGAAGAACTCTGCACTTGTGCTTGTTGAACCTCATCAGATTCTTTTAGCCCAATCCTCCAATTTGTCTAGGTCACTCTGTACCCTATCCCTACACT